CTAGGAACAAGAACCTATCCCGGCATCGCTACTAGGAGCAAGGACGCTACTAGCGGCTCCTGGCCTTATTACTAGGAACAAGGACTCAACGATGAGCAAGAAGCTAGTAGGGGCTCCTGGCACCGCTACTAGGAACAAGGACGCTACTAGGAACAAGAAGTTATCCTGGCATCGCTACTAGGAGCAAGGACGCTACTAGGAACAAGAAGCTACTAGGGGCTCCTGGCGCCGCTACCAGGAGCAAGGACGCTACTAGGGGCTCCTCGCCGTACTACTAGGAACAAGGGCGCTACTAGGAACAAGAATCTTTCCTGGCATCGCTACTAGGAGCAAGGCAAGGACGCTACTAGCGGCTCCTGGCCTTACTACTAAGAACAAGGACTCAACGAGGAACAAGAAGCTTAGGGGCGCCTGGCATCGCTACTAGGAGCAAGGACGCTACTAGCGGCTCCTGGCCTTACTACTAGGAACAAGGACTCAACGAGGAACAAGAAGCTACTAGGGGCTCCTGAGCAAGGACGCTACTAGGGGCTCCTCGCCTTTCTACTAGGAACAAGGACGCTACTAGGAACAAGAAGCTATCCTGGCATCCTGGCACTGCTACTGGGAGCAAGGACACTACTAGGGGCTCCTCGCCTTACTACTAGGAACAAGGACGCTACTAGGAACAAGAAGCGATCCTGGCATCGCTACTAGGAGCAAGGACGCTACTAGGGGCCCCTCGCCTTATTACCAGGAACAAGGACGCTACTGGGATGAACCGTGGGCTTATAACATTTGCTAGAACTTATGAGGTGAGTTATAAGTGTTATAACATTTACAGGTCCAAATTATAACCACTTACAATCATGTACATTATTGCTAAATTCATAAGTGGTTATGGTATACAAAAATAGTACTCAAAAGTCAAAACATGTGTATGCAAAAGTACTGATGTTGGTTTTTTATTCATACTAAGATGTATGCCAGACATTCTATCCTGCATATATATGGATTACAACCAAACACTACCTATAGTAAAAAGAAATGTGATTTCTCTAAAATATAACAACAAAATTGAGACAAAAAATCAACAACTGTCAAATTGAAAACAAACATCCTGCAAATACTTTGCTGCACACTTTTGCTGAACAACCGCTTGTAAAGTTTACCATGTCGCCCTTGCCATGTGCCCATGAAAACTTCAAAGGTGTATGTTGTAATTTTGTTCAACATCAAAACCAAAAACATGCACAACATGTATTTCAAGCCATTTAGGCTTCATGAAAAGTTGTTGGTTCATTGCTTACATAAACTGAATTATCATATCATTGATTTCTCCACAAACATTTGCAAAGGTACTGTTATATGTCCTGCTAAACCCTTGCAGTTTTGCAAGGGTCCAAGAAAGAGATGCTATACAGCAAACTAATTATGAACCTTCTGGAACTTGTGCTTGTTCATCATGCTCACCTTGTAGTGGTTTCTCTTAAAGTTGTTCTTCCTCTTGAGCAACTTGAGCATCTTAGCCATCCACTTGCAGATGTGGTATTTCTTCTCTTCCAGTGTTGTCCAAACCCTCCTCCAAAAGGTGCTTGTCCAAATTCTCTCAAAGGCATGCAGTGTCCCTGGACAAACCCATTGATTGAGCATAGACAGGGCTTTCACAGGTCCAAAATTGCTGCCATAAAATGTAGACAAACCATGCCCTGATCAGTAGCCACATGGCTTGATAAAGCACATTTGCTTGAACTATGCATGGGCATGACATGGGCATGGCCTACATGACAAACACATGGCAAAGTTGAATAGCCACATGGCTTGATAAAGCTCAGTTCCTTGAGTGCAAATATCTCATATATGCATGTGACCATGCATGGCACTATGCAAAACTTGTAGGCTGCCCCTATGGTTTCCCAATGACACAGGTTTTGAAGAACATATGTGGCGCATTGAGAGCACTGGTTTTATTCCATAGCATTTGGCAGTTATCTGAAATTGAATGGGATGATGACTTTGTACATAGAGTCTTTCCAGTGCATGAAGGAAAGACTGGTTGCGATGGAGGCTGTCTCAATAAAGGTTGCATCATCTTTCTTCA